GGATCCCATCCGGCCCCATAGACTTGTGAGTATCCAGATGACGTAGCAGGTCGTTGACCGCTTCCTCTTGGATTATGGGGGGTTCATCCTGCTCGCCATCCCTGTTTTCCAGCTCAGGGCGCCGAGTACCCTGAGGGTAACTAGTCTGATTGCTAAAGACTGAGGCAAAGAAGGCATTAAGTACCTCAGCCTTTTCCTCATCCTCGGTGACAATGTTCCCCCCCGCATCCAATAAAGGATGGAGATTCTCCCTGGCTCTCTTCTTGTCATTAATTTATTTGTAAAAACTTTTTTTGTTGTCTTTAACGACAGCGGCCAGGTTGCGTTCTAGCTGGGCTTTTGCCTTTCTCATTTCCTCTCTGCACGACCTAACGAGATCCCTGTACTCTTCTTGAGTCGCCTGCCCCTTCTTCCACAAGCGATAAACTCTCCTTTTTTTCCTGAGTCCCAGCAAAAGCTCCCCGTTCAGCCAGGCCGGTCGTCTTCTCCGCCCGTTCTTCTTGCGGCGTACAGGGACAGCCTGCTCCTGCGCCTTTAAGACTTCCTTCTTGAAGATCGTCCAGCCTTCCTGGACCCCTTTGCCCTTCAGGATGATCTCCCATGGGACTCTCTCAACCAGCATCCTGAACCGGCCAAAGTCCGCCCTCCGGAAGTCCATGGTTGCGGTTTTGCTGCCCCCCCGCCCCCCCTTACTTCACCAAGAATCGAGAATGCTACCATTTCATGGTTGCTAAGCCCAAGACGGCCTCCGACCACCACATCCCCCACCAGTCCTTCTCTGTAAACATATACAAGCACCAACAGCAGAATATATAAAACATGATATGGACTCTGGGGGAAAAAAACCACCACTAGAGCTAACTCAGGATGAAGTTAGTATCCTCATTTATCATTCCACTGCAGCAACAAAAAAACCCCAACAAACTCAAGAACTGAAGAAGACTTAAAAGAGAAGATAAATACACAGGAGAAAGATGGAAAGAGCTGTTACATTATCTTCCTCTCTCTTTCCTCTTTACAAGCACAGCAAACTTCTGCAGCTTATTAGGGCACACGGTCACCCAACCATGACCTTCACGTGCCAAACTGGGGTACTTAGAGACAAAAGATGTGACAAAACCAAAATACTATTTGATTAGATCACGTATTTCTGAAAGTGCCCTGCAATCAGTGACAGCATCTCTCACCATCCTCCCTTTGCTTTTAAAAGCGAGTCTAATTCAAGCCACAAGCACCCTGAGCATTTGATGAGTTACTGCAGTAAACAAACACTTGCTTCTTTTGCCAGACTGCAGTACACTGAAGAGCAGGAACAATCACGTCTCTGCACAAGTCCAGAGGTCTGACCGTCAAGTAAAGGCTCCTTTCCACTATGGGCAAACCCAGTTTATTTCAGGAGAGGTGTAGACAATTATTTCATCTCTCAATTCTTACTCTAACTAGGGTACTATCTCCATAAACAGCTACACCCCACTGAGAATTTCCTGGCCTGCACACAATATTCAGTAATCATACTTCACAATCTCATTATACTGGAAATTACAGGAAAGAAAATATTTATCTACACTGACTCTGAGCACACTTGCAACTGCTCCACTGCCAGGGGATCTGAAAGGAGTAGTTTCTTCACAACTGTTTTCTGTGCTAACAATAGAATAAAAAGTAGCAAACATCAAAACAAAACACTGTACAGAAGTCCAGCTATAACACTTTTTACCTGCACCATGATTCAAAACTTAGCTGGATGGAAGAAGCTTATTTCATAATAATATGAAAATATTATGGCAGCTTCAAGAACAAAGTTCTGGGTTTTTCTAAGAGAGATAATAGGAAAAGAAACTTTTTAGCCTATTACAAACTATTTTCACTTCCAGATCTTGATTCGATCTTTTCATATCTCTTTTATATATCTTCTGCGTTGAGCATGAGGACTAAAACTACTGGAAAACTGCCAGAAGCTTCTAAGTTCAAGAGCTAGAAATTCAAGGCTAGAATAACTGGTGTAAAAACAGTGTGCGAGTGGACAGATTCTTGAGAAATAAAAGTGCAACAACTATGCAAATACTAGCAAAGTGGCTTGCTAATATCCATCCGTGGAAGTAGACAGACTTACATAATTCAGGCATAACCATACAATAACTGCAGGAGATTCACAAAAGAGTGCAAGGAATTCTAACTGGAAAAAACAACAATCTTGACCAGTACCCTATAAAGCACCTTTGCACCCCTAATGATCAAGACAAATACATTGAGTATAAACATGCTTTTCTTACCTCATAAGGCAGCTTATCAAAATATCCGTTAGTCGGCCATTCCCTGAGGGTAACAATGCTGAACTGTTTATTAAGGGTGTCCATTCCACAGCCATACTTTTCTTCATCTTCATCTTCATCAATATCGTTCATATCAATCATGGAAGTTTTCAGTGAAAGCACAGGTCTCTCTTTCACACCGTGTAGTACTACTGCATCCAATTCAGTGTAATAGTCCAGAAGAGAGCTGTTCACTTCCAGTCGGATTAAGTTTGTGGGAAAGTTTACCTGTTTGATACAAGGTGTGAATTGCCGAGCCTGAGGACCATTCACCTTTGCAGGTGCCTCGGACCAAAGGATTTCCCATCTGTGAAAGAAAAATTGCACACGCAGACAGTATAGGGATTAAAATCAAAGTTACTAAAGCAATTCCTGAACACAGTAAGAGCGCTTCTCTGTCAGAAGTATTTAACAAGTGAGAAACATGGTTGAAAAGCCAATGAAAATTATGTTTTCCCTAGATGGAAAATATCCTAAGGATGAATTTAACAGGGCACACTAATTCATGACCTTAGCATATTTTCTCTGCATGGCTAACCAACAAAACAAGCTGTATACTGATAGTCACGCACTTGTGTCAGAGTACTATTATTCACGCATAAGTTGTTCTAACATCTCACAGGTAAGGTAATCGTAACAAGTGGATTACAGATGTCTTCACAAGTATGCAGGGAACAGTCTTGCCACGTAACCCAAATATACACTCAGCTGACCTCTCTTATTTCGCACAAAAGGTTTTCACAAAAAAACCCAAAAGCCACAGCTTAGACTCTTTAACATCAAACCTGTTCAAATTGCAGCATCGCAAATTATTAAAAAAATAATCTAAACTTTACTTTGTTTATCTGTCTAGGCAAGCAAACTATTCCTTTAAAAAGTAATTCACTATCAAATTACCAAAGAAAATAGAATCTTCAAGTCATTTTTGAAAAGGTCCTTTGCAAAAAAAATTAGCTTTTCCAAAACTGCTAAACTGAAAAGTTTTTCTCCTCTTTGGTCCAATGACAGAAGGAGGTTCAGGGCATACACAGAACTTCCATACATACATCCTTACTTTCACACACAGACCTCAAATCTCCTCCAGTAAATGACAGTGAAACCTGCTGCCAATTAAGTAATCTGGAGAATCAAGTCTTATATTCATTAGGTCTTCAGTGCTCCCAAACTTGCCAAAAGGCCTGAAAACAGAAATATGCTCTTTATATCTGCATGGATATAATCCAGTGCATGGATTTTAGAGGTCCTTCAGTCACGGATGCCCATCTTTTCCTCTATCAAGTCTAGTTAATTCCTAAAGAAGGAAGCCTTCAGCAGCCATTGTTGCTACTCCCTTTGACAGTACGTTTACAGCGATCTCTGTGTCCCGTGGGCATAACCCAGACGCTTCCACATCTACTCCATCTCTTTCCGATCACCCTAGCCCAGCTTCAAGGATTTCTCTCAGGCTACTTGTCCTACCACATGGGTCTCAGAAACGCTGTATCTGCTCCCTAGTACCTCAGCATCTCAGCTTTCCCTGTCAGATACCACTACTCTGAACTTACAAGTATTGCTCAACACTTATGTACTGCAGAACACATGGGGGGGGGATTAATTAAAAAAAATAATCAAACATGCTTTATTTTCCAGAACCAAATGCTTAAGCTTTGTCCATCATGACAGAAAGTAAAACGTATGTAAGGACTTTCATTAAAACATAGCACACGGTATAAATAAGGCTTAGAAGCTTGGTATTTGCTACTATTTCAAGGATAGGAAAATTAATCCGTATCAGCTGAAACTTCCATTTCACAATGGACGTTTTCAGGTACGCACAGATAAACTTTCCTATCCTACATCATGCCGCTGTCCACAAATACCTTACAGTAGAATGGGAGGCCTGCAGAAGTCTTCTGTTAAAGGAAAAAAAAAAAAGTCATGAACTAAAAACAAACATGCAGGACTGGTGAATATATGGCACATCAAAAGCACCAGCGTAGAAGAGTGGACAACTCTACCCTAAGGTTAACAGTTTTTATAAGAGAGACTTATTACTAAGAGACGATTTCATTCATTTAGGAAATGAATGTCAACTCATGGCAAAAAGTAACAGATGTAGTCCCACTGTCACGCCCTCTCACACAGGTCAATTCCCTAAGCAAATACTTAATGTTGGCAATGCACAGGACCTTTCTTGAACACATCCCGATCACCATCTGACATTTTGCTCAGACACTTTCATAAACCCACTCAAACTATCCTTAGGGAAACTCAAGGCTATTTTTGCCACTAATTTAGCACACGCTGGACCATCAACTTTTAACAGAATGTGTCTCAGTTATTGACTTCTCCTTTGGTGCCCTGGAGAGAGGATTATCTAGCAGTAGCAGAGCTCTGGAAAAAAAATAATGCATCTGGAGGCCTAGGTTCATCAAATTGCAGAGCAATAACCTCCTTCAGCAAGCAGTGTCTCTAGTTTCCAGTCTTTGTAACACACTAGAGAAAAGGAAAGACACATAGCATGACTTTACAATCTTGTGAAACTCCACATTACATACCAAGTGCTGATGGACAACAAGACCGGTGACTGTTTTCCACTGTCCTTGTCATACTGTTTTCTTTTCATCAACAGCCCACCAATCTAACTTTAAAGGAGTTAGCTGTTGGTTTAACTGGAAAACCTCAAGTCTATCAGGTTGATTTGATGATGTTCTCTGCCTTGGTGGCATGGCACACAAGACCAGGCCAGAGTCTGGCTGAGTCAGGGTTGGTAAATTCTTCCTGAGGGTACGCATGCTCTTAATACACCCATTACTGCAGTTGGAAGTGGACTCTTCATCTAGGATCAGCACTTTGACACTTAAACAGGCTACATGTAATCTGAATGGGAGTGAAGAAATGGATCAAAAAAGTCTAAATTTCCAAGAGGCTTCAGTAAGAACTGCATTTCTTCTGTTCTGGAGCATTTTTTGTTACGGTCATTCATTTCAAAATCCTTCAGAAGAAAGGCATTTTGACAGTCAGTCCTGGTTTGAGGGTGCGTACCAAAATCAGCTTCCCTAATAAGGTTGCCTGCATTTGTTCCAAGCTTAAGATGCTCAATAAACTATTTAACCCAAAACAAAGAGAAACTGAATCCCAACAAATTCCTGTAAAGAAGTCAAAGGAATTTTCCTCCCTCTCCACCCCCACTTTGAGTTAATTAGGTAGCTCTCAAAAAAATCAAGGAGAATCAAATGCCTGAAGGTAGGACATTGTTTGTCCTCAAGTCTTGCAGATATACAGTAACAGCTGATCAAAGATATTGCAATGAGAGTGCTTTGATAAGAAGGTTTCACCAGCAATGTGCTAGAAAGCCTCAGTCTTTACATTGCCATGCAAAGCCTGAATGAGAGGCAGTAACATCTGTATTATTTTCTCTACTGACTGAAGAAAATGAGGACTTCAAGTGAAGTTTTTCCATTCAGCTTTAATGGACTCAGTTTTCCCATTAGATTTCTTCCTACCTCATGAAGATAGCCAGGAATTCATTCTGTTCAAATTTCTGATGCTAAAGACTCCATACACCTATGTGGTAAAAAAAAAAAAAAAGAAATTCCCATTCTCCTTCCCTCACCATGAAGGAAAATACAGTCTAATGATTTTTAGGCTGAGAAACATACTTGCAAGGTTTGTGTCAAATGAGAGCACATGTTTAATGCTTGCTTAATTTTTTGTTGACCTAATGCTGTTGGAAAGCTTTTTAATGGCTAAGATGATGCCTGAGTAGACCTGGTTACTTCTGAAGAAAATATATAAGAAGAAAGATTCTTTGGAAAAGTGGCTCCTAGGAAAAGTAATCAGATTTCTCTTCAGTGAGACAAGATTAAACTTTGCATGCAGTCTGCTGAGATTTCTTGCATTGTAAAATTCAGATTGGTGTAGAAAGTGAATAAAGCACTATGTGCGATTCAAGCACAAAAAAATAAATGCCCTGTCCCAAGAAAGTTACAGCTGTGTTAAAAGCCAAAAAGCCAAAGAAGGGAAAGTTTCAGATAGACCAACAAGGAGAACATAAGGTAACTCAGAGAATAATATGACCACACCTTTGCTGAAATTGCAACTTCTGCAACAATTATAATCATGATATGTGACTATAATACATCCCACCTGCTCTTACCCAAGCAAGTGCTCTGTAAATAATCTGCAGGCTACCTATAAGAAAACGTCTCCTGCCTGCTAACATGCCAGGGATGCTTCAGCACACTAGGTTCAATAAAACCTGGGAAGTGCACCCCTGGCCACAGCTATGAGTTCATAAATAGAAAAGGCAGGGAAGACTGATCACGAGAACAATTTTAGAACCGTTCAGATCAAGGTGATAAGCAGAGTTCACAGCAGTCTAATTACTATGGGGGAATATGCAGCAGATTTTCATTTCTACTTTGAGAGTTCAATTCTGAAATACCAGAGAGAGCAGACAGGACTCCAAGAATGCTCAGGGCATTTAACATAGCAAAAGAAATTTCAAATAACTGCCCTGTCCACATGAGCTTTTTATGGGTTTCTCAAAAATGACTGTGTCCCATGAACCCAGAACTCATTCTTCTATGACAGTCTTCCGGACAAGAAAAAGCTGTTTCCCTGAAGATGTCAAAACAAGTTATAAGTAAGGATGCAAATGGCTAGAACTTAAGTTGTGTGTTACACATAGGTGAGATACAGCCCTGAAGGCCCCTTATCACACTCTAATGTGTTGACGGTATCAGCAGTGTTTTGGGTGCCTTCATCTGAGATTCACAGGGAACAAAAGGTAGAGCGAAAGAACCATCTGAATGCCACTCTCTACAAGCAAGAGACTCAGGATATTTTACATTCAGTACACTGGTTTCACTCCCTTTATCAGAAGGGGGGATTCTTTTTTCATCAAACATTTTGATCCCTATCCTGGCTGCCAGCAAACAAATCTGCAACATTCCCACCTGGACTAGCATTGTATTGCCTAAAAACAATGAACTTCCTAATGGAAGGAGAGGGAGCCTTTTACTTTGTCCACCTTCCTTAGCCTGCTCCTCTGGTTGTAGCAGCTTCTGCCTCTACAGGCTTCAAGACCTTCAGAAAGAGAAAGGAACCTCGCATACAGCAAACACAGCTAAGCTAGGAAGTACTGAGCCACGCTGTTCATCTACAAATCAAACTTGGAATTTTGCTCAAACGAGCATCTAGCAAAATTCTAAACGACATGAAATAAATTAAATTAAATAGAAATAAATGGCGGGAACACACAAGGCAGAATGGAACTGCTTCCAGCAAGTCAAATGATCATGGTATCTCACCTGTGAGAAACAACCTAATCAGTGTTACACTTTATCTGTGGAAAACAAGAAAAAAATAATCACAAAACAATCTCCAATCTACTAAAGGAGCAATCATCACATAGCAGTAAGGACACATGCTATGAAACATGACCCCAAGCACTGCCACACATCCCAGACCAGTTAGGAATCTCTGGTTTTGAGCTTTTATAAGAGCATATGAATATGTGGTGTCACTATAACGTACATGAAATAAGAGAAACTGTCAAATTAAGTTAAAAAAAGACCACGACAGAAGAAGAACAGGGACGAATTTTTTCTTTTATATGCCAAATTTAAAAAGCAAAGCTATTTTTGTAAAAGAATAAAGTTGAAAAACTTCTGACAAAATTATTTCTGCCTTGAAAGCTCCCATTTAAACACACACAAACTCTTCCTGTCTGACAGCAGCTAACTATTGGGAGCATCAAAATGTTTCAAAAGGGCTGACACCGAAGAAGTCATTAGGGAATCGCCAAGAGTAAGCCTTCTGGGTAAATGAGAAGGAGAAAGAAACAGGAAAGAAAACGTTTTCCTCACCACAGAACCTAGCTATATCTTAGCTATCAATCTAACACACTATGAGAAACAAAGAAAATTCTCTTGGTTGGGTTCAGCTCATGCCACTGTCAGGTGCAGTGTCCCCATCACGCCTGTGTGGAGCTCTGCCTCTTCCACCGGCCGAAGAGGGACTCATCATTGTCACCAAACCCTAAGTACACACAATGTGCACAACAGTACAAGAATCTCAAGGCTACACTAGTATAATAATCATAGCACAACACAATACAAAAAAGGGAGGGATTTCTTCACCACATAAAAACTGAGACTATATGCTACAATATTCCCTTAATCTCAGATTATTAATTTTTGCTTGGATTTTCTGCACTCGTAATTCATGTTAGAAATCTGTACATGGATTCTAACATACGTTAGTATAGTTTAAGAAATTACCAAACAATTCTTACCAGTCAAGCTGTGAGTGGCACTAGTGAAAAGCACAAAAAGTCTCCATGTGTAAAGACAGCAGTTTCTCTGATATTTATGATTTTTAAAAATTGTTTTATGCAGAGGAGAGTGATGTAACATCTTCTGTGTTTAAAGCAGCAAAAGATATGAGAGGACAGAGACTCCTCAAATTGCTGGAAGTTTTTTAATGAAAAAACTTCAAATTAACTGTCGTGTTTTAAGCATTAGAATTATTCAGGAACATTTACATTCCATTCTGAAAAATACATGCTTATTCCCATTCCGTGAAGAGCTGATCCCACCTCTAAAAAGACTCTGCATAAAGCTGATCTGAGTATCATACAAAGCTGTAATTGATAGCAGTATTCAATGCACCAGCAAGAGAGGAACATGACCAAAGACCTTTTTCTGAACACCAGCATAAGTCATTCTTTCATGCAACTGAAGCACAAATTGAGCAACAGAGCAACACATTGGCCAACTATGTGGTCTATAGCCATTTTTCTACAAGAATATATGAAGTCCTCTTGAGCAAGGACTGCGGTACACCGAGTCCTTACAGAGACTCTTGTAGGTTAGAAGCTTCTGCACACAGCAAAGTCTTGGATGAGCTGATGTTTTAAATACTAAACAAAGAGAAAAAAAGATTACTCAGCTGGACTAGTATAATCCATTAAGCATAACATTTAAACAAGTCTCAGCAGACTTTTTCCTCTCAACAGTTTTGACTCCACCATTAATTTAGCCTTCTTTTTATATCAAAGTAAGAACTGGTGAAAAGCAACCTTTCTAATGACCTGCCGTTTCTACACTGGTGTTTAGAAAGAAACAGATCCAGAGTCAGCAGATAAAACAAAGCAGCACTTTAAGGTTTTTAGTTAATAAGGTGATTTAAAATTAAGTATCAAAATAGTCAGAAAAGGAAAACAAGGTTCTAAGTAGCCTTCGAGTAACTGGGACGTGGCCTTTTAACTGAAGAAAACAGTACGGCAATGCTTCAAGTTCAAAACATCAGTTAAACACAGAATCATCTGAGATTATCAGCAGCACTCCACCTTATTATCACTATTATTTATTCAAAAAATAATTCTTAGTTGACATCTCAGAGAATTTTTGGAAGTGAAAACAAGGGACCAAGAACTGAAGCAGAAAAGAGACCACATTCTTGCAACTCTTCATATTCCCCTCATAAAGGTGAGCAAATGAATGGAGAAAAAATACTGCATACCTCATGTGGAGAAAGGGTTCCTTAATCTTCCCTTCAAGACACCATGCACAAGACACGTTTGTCTCTTTCAGAAGAAAGGAGGAGACAAACCAAATGTGCAGCTCTGAACAGACAAGTCCTGCTGAGGAAAGCTAAGCCAAAAGAAAAAGAAAAAGTCCCTCTAACATTTCTCTAGCATCAAGACTGGCAAGTACTGAAGATGCAGCACAGACAACTGGTTCTGAGGCTCCCTGAGACAACCTTCCTCTAACCAAAAATGTTGTTAACCTAAGTAGGCAGAACAGAAGATACTCCTGCCTACAAATTAAGAAGTAGGATCCTACAGAAACTTAATCCTTTTTTATGAGGAAGGGAAAGTCTGAGCTCTCACTCTGACCACACCCCAAGAGGAGTCATAAAGCACATCCTAAAAAGTTTTATATTAGTATTTTCACTTCCATCTTCTTTTAGCTCTCTGAACAATTTTCTGGGTTTTTTTTTTAGTGCACCTTACTAAATAGCTCCTTCAGTTAACATTTCTTGAGCTTTCCTTCGACACTTCTTGGTCTTTACACAAAACTAAAAGTGTACTGCTTTAAGAAGCAAAACCTAAACAGACATTTTTATAACACAGCATTAGCTTAATACTCAGAATTATATCCTTGTATTGCCCTGCAGCACACTATCTTACTATTACTCTAATGCAATATTATCAAGTTACAGAAATAATCTCTACATAAATCTGTGCTACATCATAAAATAGTCAAATCTACATCATAAAATAAAAAAGTAAAATGAAAGTTCACAGAGTAATTGGCCAAAAGTCAATTCACATTAGGTTCTAAATTCAAGAGTCTTAAAAGCTGCCTTCACCACACACCATCCTATAAATAAGTTCTGTATTACAGTGCCAAACGCACTCCTACATCTGAAGTTAGGTGGCCTATTATTATTAGTTTGACCTATCACTGTTCCTTGAATTTGGATGTTTACTTTAGAGCTATACAGTATATACTCATTAGAGAGCTGTAAAACAAACAACTGCACTAAACAACAGTAGATGATAGAATCACACAAAATATATTAATTGGGAATTTTGAATACATAACATGACACCTGATTTTCTAGGGGTTTTGAATAAACATCAATGGCCTAGTATTAGGAAGCATGGGATACTAAGTTAGACCTAAAAGTATGCTTTTTAGCTGTACCTGTAAAAGGCAAGTCAGGGAAAAAAACACCCAGCATCCAAGCTAACACTGCTTATTCCACCAAAGTGCACATTTTAAAGGAATACAGTATTTGTTGGCATATTATTTTCTACAGGACACATTTTGTTTTGTTAAGTCTTTCTTCTATCAGTTCTCCTTTCCTTTATGGCTTTGGTATCATTTCATCTCTTTTTGATGTATACAGAATACTTTGATTGTGTATACCGATAGCTTTTCCCAATGTTTTTCCCCACTATGTGCTTTTACCCGTTCTCTTTCTCCTTCCATTTCTATTTCCTCACCTCCTTGCTAAGAGCTTCACACCTCATACACAGTGTTCTTCTTTATTATCTTACCACTCCCCAAGTCCCCATCTTCCTGGCCCCCCAACTGGAATTTCATCAGGAGTTCCTACTATGAGGAAAACCAACAGGATCAAATCAGCTTCTTTTAGTCTATGAAGCAAGCATAAAAGTGAAGTGCAGCTCACACCCTTTGACCAAACCAAAAGTAAAGATCAGACAAATGGCATCACCTTTCATCCAACTGTTCCGTGCTTCTGTTTTTGGCCTCATTTCCATATGAACTGTTATAGTGCCTGATTGTACTATACGTACAACCTAAAGCATGCAGAGAGAAGAATTTATGGCTACTCGAAGCAGGACAATACAGCAACCATGAATCCTTGGCCTCTTCTACACAATTTGCTTTTCTTACTGGAGAAAGAGAACTGCCATTTCAAAAGTGATTTTTCTACATACATAACAATTACTGCTCATAAAAATTCCAACACAAAAACTATCATTACACAAATCAAATCCGATATTAGGATCTGCATTAATTCCTACAAAAAAATCCACATCTCTTAAGTTGCTACAAAAACACGTCACCACAGTTTTAAAAACATGCAGAAATAAAGAAAATGTTAGTGAGTCAGATACAAAACAGAGAAATACTAGGAAGTAAATATGCTAAACAGCATTATTTGTAGCATTTAACATCTTACAGGAAAGCATGAAGGAGAAAAAAAAAAATTACCTTACTTCAGCTGGTGGATTTTGTGAGTAAGGATTTGCAGAGCATGCCAAAATCCTGACTACAGCTCCAGGATGATACGTTTCCAGAATGTGCACTGCGGTGGGATAAACTGGTTCCTCAAAAGCGAGTTCCACGTAGTCCTGGCTACAGAAGGTGGGTGGCGTCCTCTTGAACGGCAGCCGAGCGCTAGGGCAACGATCCCACCAGGTCCCATAAGTTCGAAAGACAGCAGTCTGAGTAAAGTCACCAGAACTAGGGTACACGTTTGGAATACCTGCTAAATTCCACATGGTATACGACATGCTGTTTTCACTACCGTAGTGAGAGCTGAAATCCAACACTTCTTTGGCATACTGAACTATTTCAACATTGATAGGTAAGGCTCGGGTGTTTGATTCAATAGCCCTCCGGCTGTTCATTTCTCCTCTCGTCGCTGTCCTAGCTCGGCGCCGAAGGCACATATAGTAAAACATGCTCAGAACTGTTAACATGGGAAACACTGGTGACATCTAGATATGACTTAGGAAGATGCAAAAGGTCAGGAGTCCTTTATAAGGTGCACGAACTGCTTGTGGTGTTTTGGAAAAGAGCTGATAAAACAGAATGAATAAACATAGTGAGCAGATAAAACATTCTTTGAATAAACATAGTGAGCAGATAAAACATTCTTAGAAAGCAAACTGTACTCTTTCAAATATCCTCTTAAACAAAGTACTGCTGCTAAGACATTAATAAACTATTACATTTTATTTTAAGTCCATTATTTAGTTGGAGGCTACTAAGTGTGGCTTCCCATTTACTGTGTTTAAAAAAAGAGAAGACTAATGAAGAAACATCAGCCAAAACTAGCCCTTGAGCAACAAACAGACTAATGGTTAAATTAAGCATTATTTTCAGGGATTTAAGAGAAAAAAGTCTTGCACTGACTTATGGAAATTAAATCAAGTATGAAATGAAATCCGGCCCTTGCAGTAAACAACTGTAGAAGAGTATCTGAAGGTACAGCTAAAATTATTCGTAGTATAGTTTTGAAATACTTAAACTAAAACTGACTTTTAAACAAAGTACTCAGGTACCTAGTCAGGCTGCAGCAGTATACAGCTCAACAAAACCTAAGTTACTTCACTGCTTATATTTTGCAGTAAGACTGCTCCCAGACTCAAATTAGTTCATTCAAAGCTAGCTCAAGTATATCTATATTATACTATAATATGGAGAGTAAATACACCCTTCAAAGACAGCTCATATAGAAAGTTGGACAGCTACTCCAGCGGATTGTTTCCTCTAATTTGTTCCCATAATTTGTGGATGGTTTTAAGAGTGAATAGAGCGAGCTTTGGGCAGTTAATCTAAACCAAAAACTTAACCCACTGCTTCCTATATCAGAGCACTAGCCTGAAACACTCACAAAAATACCGTCTTTACCCTTTGAAGTTGTCCATGACAGCATTCACCGACGATACAAGGGTCACCAGCCTCCTGAAGGATGCTCAGAATTCATTAACGGCATCATCTTCCTTTAAGCCAAGCAACAGAGTAAGTCTTCAAAAGAGTCCTGGCATCAGAAGCAGAGGTCCCCATAGAAAGCATTTTAATTCTGATAAGAGAAAATATTTCCCTTTATGTAACAATTCAGTTAAACACAAAATGTATTAGATCTGCATACTGCCAGGCCACCTAAAAAATCAACAGAAAACATACTAATAATTAAGGATGTTGATGTGTTTTCCACAGCCTACACCAAATCACAAGTAAAACAAACAAACAAGCAGGTTTAACAATTAGAAAAAGTCAAATTAAAGGTAAGTCTCTTTACTATAGTTTCCTATTTACAACGGTGAAGAAATATTTATAGCTGAATGTTGTCTTCAGGACACAGAAGAGCTACATCATATTCCCTAATAAAGATCCTCTTACATATGCTTGTCCCATATTTAGCAGCCGCTCCATACCTGTGTGATGTAAACTGTTAGATTTACCAGCACACAGCAGAACGTGGAACGTGTTCTCTGCTTTCTGCTAGCAGCACACAACACACTCGGGCAATAACACAGCACTCCAGAATTCACATCCTCCAGTACCACAAACTGTTTCTCACAAACCGGCCTTCCGATTAACTTGTTCATCAGCTTTACTAGGAGAGAATAAGGAGTAATGCCCGTAACCTGTCAGAGGCCAAAACAGGGATGACTAAGCATGTTTCAAAATAGAATAAATGTTTCTTCAACAGCCTGTACTGGAGTTGCCGGTTAGTTTATCACAGGACACATACTGTGGTAATCACTGAACCAGCAGAGGCGACTCTTCTATGGCAGAAGACGCATCAAACAACAACTAACACGATGCCTCACACTGCCTGGCAGACAAACCACACATTTAATGTTTGCAATGGGTACAAATGAGACCATACAATAGAGAGATTTTGGAGGCATAAGCTTAAAGTAGGGTAAATAATTAAACAGATGAAGACGAATCAAAGTGACTTGTGTATGCCTCTACATAAATCCACCGTGCATATTTCCTGGGTGAATTGCTTGTTTCCCATACTCACAAAATGCACATAGATGTACAAACAGCTCTCTCTCGCTTGAACGTTGCCAACAAGAAGGCGCTTGTGGTAACAGATAAGGACATGCTGCACTATTTGACCCTCTTACTCGTGACCGCGAGAAGGTTTACTAACGAAGTGTTCACTTCTCACTTTCTTGCCTCTTCTATTATTAGCTTTTTGTTTAGTTCCTGTCCTTCGTTCAGTTTCACATGTTGACATAGCTGTCAACAACACGAATTACTCCTGACATACGGTGCAGGAGGGAATGCATACGACGATATGCTGGATCCACTTCAAGCTCTCCTGGAATGCCAAAACCCAAAAATTTCACATTTCCCCCAAACATCCTGTTGAACCACCTTTTAGAAAAGGCACTGCAGAAAAAAGCAGCAAAACCCCCAATCTCTCCTCCTTAAAAAAAACACCCCAAAACCCCAAAAAACCAACTCCAAACTGAAAATTATTTTATCTTTTCAGTGTGGAGCTGCTGTAAGATCTAAGTGAAGATTACAAATACATTCTCCATCTGGATTTTTTTTCTTAAAAAGAAAAATCTATTTACAGAATATGCCAACAGACATTAAACGTCAACAAACTTACTGCTGTCAAGCCCTGGAATCATGTGTAGACCAGCATACACACCAGCTTCTAACTCAGAACTTCACTGATTAACATGGTTTGAAGGCTGCTCCATGGAAATGATGGCTTTACAGAGCTCAATTTTAAGAATCATTCAGCTGGGGTACTTCAGGATCAGGTGCGAATCACTTATCTCACATATGCATCCTACACAGCTTCACATCTGCACTGCAAACTCCAGGCTGCCTCTGGCCACAGCCCGGAGCTCTTACAGCACTGTTGTAAAACCCAGCTGTGCTCCCTACCAGCTTGTCAAAGAGCAGCACAACCACCAGCTGGTTCAGAGCTGTACATCAACTAGCTGGCCAGTTTAAGTCAGGTCTAACAGAACAGATAATGGAAAATCTGCAGTGTAATAATTTGGGTCATTCCCCCTCTACCAACTTGATGATTTTCATAAAACCTGTAAAAATTTGATAACCTTGATGCTGACGCCACTTTGTCAATTTTGGCTGACATTGGTCAACAGGCTCAAAAGTAAGTAGGAAGAAACAGGGAAGAGCATACAGCTTTCATAAAAATGTATTAGTCTAAACAATACAAGTGGAGGTAAATTACTTCTAAAGAGTTAAAAGCAATATAGAATCGTATAGAATCATAGAACTGTTTGGGTTGGAAGGGACCTCTAAAGGTCATCTAGTCCAACCCCCCTGCCGTGGGCAGGGACATCTTTCTTACACTAGATCAGGTTGCTCAGAGCCCCGTCCAACCTGGCCTTGAATCTTTCCAGGGATGGGGCATCCACCACCTCTCTGGGCAACCTGGGCCAGTGTTTCACCACCCTCAGCGTAAACAATTTCTTCCTTAGATCTAGTCTCAATCTACCCCCCTTTAGTTTAAAGCCATTCCCCCTTGTCCTGTCGCAACAGGCCCTGCTAAAAAGTCTGCTGCCATCTTTTTTATAAGCCCCCTTTAAGTACTGATAGGCTGCAATAAGGTCTCCCTGAAGCCTTCTCTTCTCTAGGCTGAACAACCCCAACTCTCTCAGCCTTTCTTCATAGGAGAGGTGTTCCATCCCCC